CCAGGAGTTTCTTGGCTGAATGTGAAGCCTTGAGAGTATTAGACATCGAAATCTTGTCAAATAATATCTGCTTGTGCAAGTGTTGATTTCCAGGAAGATTTTCAAGGCTTTGATCTACAGTTTATGGTTATGGGAGCTTGGAGGAGTGGTGCATCCCAATGTACACAGATGTCTTACAGAGGCGCTGAGGAATCTAAACTTTCTACAAAGACTTGATATTGCTATCAATGTTGCTTGTGCAGTGGATTATCTTCATCCATGGCCAACACCAATGGTTCATTGCGATCTCAGCCAAGCAATGTTCTTCTTGACGATGAGTTGACAGCACATGTAGGTGACTTTGGATTGGCAAGATTCCTTCCACAGGGACACATAGTCTTTCAAGTAATCAAACAAGCTCCATTGGTGTAAGAGGAACTGTTGGTTATGCTGCTCCAGGTAAATACTTTAACTATTTTATCATTCCTCAAATTTCTCATATGACTCTTGTATTTCTTTCTCAATTTTACCTCCTAAAATTCTATAGAAAAGTGGGTTATACAAGCTATATATTATGTGGAGGCTCTTTGTACATATATAAATTTTCCAATTGCAGAGTATGGTATGGGAAGCGAGGTTTCACTCATGGTGATGTGTACAGTTTGGCATACTCTTATTGGAGACGTTTACAGGGAAGAGGCCAACGGATGAGATGTTTAATGGGAATCTAATCTTCATAATTTGTGAAGGCAGCTATCCCTGAAGGAGTCATTGAAATAGTGGACCCATTTCTTCTTCTAGGATAGAAGAAGGACAGACAAGCCTGATAGTCACAGCGTTCGGAGTGCTTGATTTCGATATTTGGAATTGGAGTCACTTGCTCTTCAAGTCTCCGAGTGAAGACGAACATGGATGATGTTACAGTCCAGTTGCATTCTATCAAGAAAAAACTTCTAAAAACTCCAGACAGGGTCAGAGGCTACTGTAACTGTATGAGTAATTTTCTTGCGTTTTATATTAAATGTCTTATACATTTTAGAATAAGGTCTGTTAAACAATGTTCAACTCGCAATATGTTAAAGGAATGTAATTTTATTTTTTACCAAGTTCTGAAATAAAGATTATTTATAATAAACTGGATTTCTAGGACTGGACATTTTTGCCTAGGTTGCAGTTGAAGAATCATCTTTATTCTTGTTGTTTAACACAGGAAATGTCCACCAAAAATAAAACAAAAAGGAACATGTTAATTGGCATGCTCAGAAACAAAAATAAGGTCTACCCACAACCTACTAAAATTCTCAAACACGTGTTTTTTAATTCAGCGTAAATTTAGATTGAATTCATACAGGCACATACAATACAATTTCCCGAAGGAGAGTATAGTGACTCCGCCTATATCATTGAAAAGGATCCACTATAAATGAGATTCACGATCCTGGATAATTGTAATCACCTAGACTGAGACGGATTGTAGAGTTGGTTCCACTGGAAATTAAAAAATGAACTGCTAAATTGACGGATTTCGTTTGTCGCACTAAGCACTGGAAAGTTTTGAAAAATGGGTTGACGGATCAATTTTTATGAGCAGGTTTGGACATTGGATGCTAACTGGTTGAAGCTTTTGCAGAACGTCCATTTTAGGCCAAAGAGCGCAACACGTGAAAAGAACAGCCATTCACGTAATCGCTTGTTTTCAATTGGATGAAATCGACAAGATGGTGCACCGACTCTAAGAAGATTCTATGGAACATACTGCCTCTGAGAAATCAATTAACACTAAACCAAAATTCTAACTGATTCTGATTTTTGTTTAGTATATTTGATTTTTGAACAATCGTGTATTAAGAGAGGTGTTACAGAATTGACATGTTTGTCTTCAGATATCAGAGCGACTCATTTCTCTTCATATCAGAGTGGGAGGTCCCTGTATACGCGTAACGTAATTGAAGGATTTGATTAATAGATTTAAAGTGAAGATTAAGAATGCCTAAACAATGAAACTAGATGGCGCTAGAAGTCAACCCACTTCATCAGAATTCTTAATTTTATATTTCCTAAAGGCCTATAAGTTCGTAGCTTGGGAAGCAGTCTATTAAGTTCACATTCGCTACTTTATCTTTGGATTCAAGTATCACACTCGTCATCAAACGTTGAATTAACATATATTCTGAAAAAAGTACATGAGCTGTACTTAAAAGTGGATTTCATGATTGATAATTGTAAAAATGTTGAGGTCGTTCAATGAACTAGACCACTCAACCAAATTTCTCCAAAAATCTTCAATGAATCATGTACAATGAGTCAAGTCTTCGTCTTAAATCAGATTTGCATTGACTAAACTCGAGCCGAGAGTTCCACTAAGTGCTTAATCAAAAGTCGTAATTATTTATGAGATTTCTCTTTCAAGAATTTCCAATCATAAAAAAAATACTGTGGTTTATACTTTAAGATCAGAGAGTTATGAATAACAATTATGTGAGCAAATTATTATGTATAACTTAATTGAAAATTCTTATCATTTAAATCTATTTATTTGTATTTATTATGTTGATTTTTCAAATTTACAGTACTCATTTTTTCTAGTATTTATATTTAACAAATATGTATTTCCATGGAAAATTGATCTTTATGAACATATATATTATTGCAACATTCTATGATTCTTTGTGGAAGATATTCACACCTCTTGTATCAGTCAAAAGAAGAAAGTGATTGCCAGTTAGTAACACTCATCAATCTTCAGAACACTGACATGTATCGTGATTGTGGTGCTTCTTCAATGCCTATAAGGATGAAAATCGATGATGTTGAATCTGAGCTGCGTTTGATGAAAAAGAACTTGTGGAAACTCGTATACATGAAGATGTACACACCATACATCCCCCTCAATTACTGTATAGCTCAGACTGTTCTGTTTTGGATAGGAATGTTGCATAGCATCCGAAAACATATTTCTTTTTTCTGTTTTTTCTTCAGAACAGAGAATTGTTACAGTGAAAATTTTAATTTCAAAAGATAGCTTTCTGTTATATTTCAGAAAAAGAATTGTGTTATTGGTGAATTTAAAATTTTACAAATAGTGACGTTGGACTTTGGAAAAATTGATTATCAAGGAAGCTCCATTGAGAAGAGAAACTTCTTTCGTAGATTTATACCTTAATCTTCGAGTTCTTTAAGAGGTTTTTGAAACATTGATCTTTCTTTTAACAATTTGTCTAGCCATGTTCTGAAATTCTTGGAGATTTTTCTCTTTGGACAATTTAAACCTATCCTTCAATGACTCTTCTATTTCACTTCGTTGGTGTGACTATAAATTTTACAATAAACTGGATTTCTGGGAGTGGATATTTTTGGCCTAGGTTGCAGTTGAAGAATCATATTTATTCTTGTTAGTCTTACACAGGAAATGTCCACCAAAAATAAAAAAAATAAAACCAAAAAGGAACATGATAATTGGGCATGCGCAGAACCAAAAATAAGATCTACCCACAACCTACTAAAATTCTCACACATGTTGTTAGTTAATTTAGCATAAATTGAAGATTGAACTTATACAGTGACATACAATACAATTTCCTGAGAAAGGAGAGTATAGTGAACTCCACCTACAATCAACAATTGAAAAAAGAAACCCCACTATAAATGAGATTCACGATCCTAGATAATTTATTTTACCAAAACTTTCTTCAAGGAGGATGTTGTGTTACAGTGTGGTGCAAGCAATGAACGTGTATTGAAAATTTTCTATAATTCTTTAGGGAAAATACTTACTTTTTGCTTCATTATGTGACGTTTCTTGAAGATGTTCACATCTCCTCTACTATAAAAAATGTGTGAGTCACGCTCACGGTTCTGGCCATTTGCATCAGACTGGTTCAATATTCAATGCACACTACAAGACTTGTAGCCTTTCCTGAGTGCGCATAAGTTCCTAGCCTGTGAAGCTATCTTGTCAAGTGGGGTTTTCTTAATTTCATAGTTCAATGCTGAGTCGAATAGTTTTTTGCTCAGTTAGCTTTTATCTGCTGCTTTTATTTTGGTCAAGCCTGCTATCTTGTCGTTCAGTTGCTTCTGCCAGTTCTGTGCTCAAAGGCAATGAAACTGATAGACTTGCATTGCTTGAATTCAAGGCCAAAGTAACTTATGATCCCCTTCAGGTTTTGAGCTCATGGAATGATTCCAATCACTTTTGCCAATGGGAGGGCGTTACATGCAGTTGACGTCACCAAAGGGTGACCAGATTACGTCTTCCTCATTCAAAATTGGAGGGGTCTCTTTTACCATCTATTGGAAATCTGAGTTTTCTTAGAGTTCTGAATCTCAATAACAACAGCTTCCGCAATGAAATCCCTCACGAGATTGGCTATTTGTTCAGGTTACAATTTTTAGGCCTGGAAAATAATTCAATTGGAGGGGAAATTCCTAGCAACTTATCAGGTTGTTGTTGGTTCAAGGAAGAAAATTTCAGAGTAAACATGAGAGATTGAAAATGAAGGAGACGGCTGGATTTTAGGATTTTTCTCTCTGCATTTCTTTCATTGAACAGAGCAATGTATATACAAACTTACGTCACTGTTTTTACTTACTGTAGTAAAATAAAACAATAAAACTATGCTTACTCACCATCTTACCAACCATCTTACTATCCTATATAAATATCACGCATAGTACGGGTACTATACGTATGGTACCCATACTATACCATAGGATAGTAAGATGGTTAGTAAGATTATGAGTAAGCATTGCATTACTCTAAAATAAAATATTACAAATACACTTTAGCTAAAAATATGCACCAACCCAAGTCTAAGTCTCAACAAAACATGACATAAAGTCTTCAATTGATTGGCCTGATATCTGCTCCATAACCACTGCTGTCATAACAAAAACAGAGGCTGAAACTTTGGCTCCAAAAACTGGTTTGAATATCCAACAGGAAGTTGTCCCATTTCCAGCAGGTTATCACCTACATCATCAGTTGTGCCAACCTTGAATCGTTTAGTGTTGGCAATAATAAGATGGTTGGGAAACTTCCAAGGGAGCTTGGATCTTTATCAAAGCTCCGTGGACTCTATGTACTCTTCAACAATCTGTTAGGAGAAGTGCCTCCTTCCTTCGGAAATTTGTCATCCCTTGAGATACTTTCAGCATGTAGAAATCAATTTGAGGGAGGAATTCCAGCAACACTTGGTCGGTTGAAGAGGATTCAATTTATTGCATTTGGAGTAAATAAGCTCTCAGGTACTATTCCTCCCTCAATCTACAATATATCTTCGCTTGTGAATGTCGGTTTTGAGTTGAACCAACTTGAGGGGAGTCTACCCTTAGACCTAGGTTTCACTCTTCCTAACCTTGAAGTGCTAAGTGTTGGCTTGAACCAATTTACCGGACTCATTCCTCCTTCAATATCCAATGCCTCAAATCTAATGAGACTTGGGATTGAAAGAAATAGATTTAGTGGAAAGGTGCCCACGTTGGAGAACCTACATAAACTACAAAGGGTTAGAATTTTTGGTAATCAATTAGGAAATGGGAAAGAAGATGACTTGAAGTTTCTCAATTCTTTGCAAAATGCTACGAGCTTAGCGGTACTAGATATTAGTGGTGACAAATTTGGAGGTATGTTGCCAGACATTATGGGAAATTTGTTGACCCAACTCAGATTTCTAGCTATTGCAAACAATAAAATGTTTGGAAAAATCCCAACAGCAGTAGGCAATCTTGTTAACTTGGAAGTTTTAAAACTATGGATGAACCGATTCACGGGCCATATTCCAAGCAGTATTGGGAATCTTCAAAAGCTACAAGTTTTGCTGGTCAGTGAGAACAGTTTCTCTGCAGAGATACCATCTTCTCTAGGCAACCTATCATTGTTAATCATGCTTAGATTAGATAGAAACAACCTACAGGGGACCATTCCATCAAGTCTTGGGGGATGCACTAATTTAGAAGATTTAGATCTCTCTTATAACAATCTAAGTGGTACCATACCTCCTGAAGTAACAGGTCTCTCATCCTTGTCAATTTATCTTGATATATCTCTAAACCAATTGACTAGTTCCCTGCCCTCAAATGTTGGTAACTTAATAATCTAGGTTTTCTAGCTATATCTGAGAATAAATTGTCTGGTGAAATTCTTGATAGTTTGGGCAATTGCATTAGCTTGCCAAAACTATTCATAAATGGTAATTTCTTTCAAGGAAATATTCCATCCTCCTTGAGTTCTTTGAGAGGCATTGATTATCTTGATCTTTCATCCAACAAGTTGTCTGGCCAAATACCCAATTTTTTAATGAACTTTCCCTTTTTGATGAACTTAAATTTATCTAACAACAACTTCGAGGGTGAAGTACCAATTGCAGGAGTCTTCAACAACGTAAGTGCTATTTCACTTTCGGGAAAAAATAAACTTTGTGGTGGCATAACCACATTACATTTATCCAATTGTCCCATCAAAGGATCAAAGCAAACTCGGTATGTTTCAAAGAAAGTGATAATTCCTATAGTTGTTGGAATTTGGTTACTAATTATGATGTTATGTTTGATAATTATTCGCTGGTGGAGAAGAACGAAAAGGAATTCCTTTCCTGCATCACCATTGTTGGCTTCACTTATGCAAGTGTCCTATGATAATCTACTAAAAGCAACTGATGAGTTCTCTTTAGAAAATTTGATCGGTTCAGGGAGTTTTGGTTATGTGTATAAGGGGGTCCTAGACAATAACGAAATGATAGTGGCAGTGAAGGTTCTTAACCTTCAAAATCGAGGAGCTTCCAGGAGTTTCTTGGCTGAATGTGAAGCCTTGAGAAGTATCAGACATCGAAATCTTGTCAAAATAATAACTGCTTTGCAAGTGTTCATTTCCAAGGAAATGATTTCAAGGCTTTGGTCTATGAGTTTATGGTTAATGGGAGCTTAGAGGAGTGGTTGCATCCTAATCTAACTACAAATGTGTTGCAAGAAGCGCCCAAGAATCTAAATTTTCCACGGAGACTTAATATTGCTTTCAATGTTGCTTGTGCAGTGGATTATATTCATAACCATGGCCAAACACCAATGGCTCACTGTGATCTCAAGCCAAGCAATTTTCTTCTTGACGATGAGTTGACAGCACATGTAGGTGACTTTGGATTGGCAAGATTCCTTCCAAAGGGCACCCATAGCCTTTCAAGTAATCAGACAAGCTCTGTTGGTGTAAGAGGAACTGTTGGTTATGCTGCTCCAGGTAAATACTTTTAACTATTTTATCATTCCTCAAAATTCATTCATATGACTCTTGTATTTCTTTTCTCATTTTTACCTCCTAAAAAATTCTATAGAAAATGTGGTTATACAAGCTATATTATTTATGGGGAGGTTCTTCGTACATATATATGATATTTCCAATTGCAGAGTATAGTATGGGAAGCGAGGCTTCAACTCATGGTGATGTGTACAGTTATGGAATACTCTTATTGGAGATGTTTACGGGGAAGAGGCCAACCAATGAGATGTTTAATGGCGATTTGAATCTTCATGATTTTGTTAAGGCAACTATCCCTGAATGAGTCATTGAAATAGTGGATCTAGTTCTTTTTCAGGAAACAGAAGAAGGACAGACAAGCCTAAGAAGTCACATTGTTCGAGAGTGCTTGATTTCGATATTTGGAATTGGAGTCATTTGCTCGTCAAGGTCGCCAAGTGAAAGGACGAACATGGATGGTGTTATAGCCCAATTGCATTCTATGAAGAACAAACTTCTACAAACTCCAAGACAAGGTCAGAGGCAACTGTAACTGTATGAGTAATTTTCTTGCATTTTATAATTAAATGTCCTATACGACTTTAGAATAAGGTTTGTTAAACAATGTTGAACTCGCACTATGTTATAAATGGATGTAATTTTATTTTTTTACTCATAGAATAAATAAATCTTTGCCGTCATTGTTGCCCTTGGAAGGTAATTTTTCAAATTTGTAGTTAGGATTTTGAAGTTAGATTAGCTGAAATATAAACCAAGTTCTGAAATAAAGAATTTTTTTTTTTTTTTATAATAAAAATAATGTTTTTAAAATAATATTCTTTTCTAGAACAATTTTTTATCTTTCGCTCAAAATAGCTTTACCATTGGTTACAACGTAAGCAATGAAGGTTTACTGCACTTATTGTAAGTATAAAATTTATTTGTTTGGAGATAAAAGTTTGATTTTTGAAATAGGGTACACCCTGAAGAGATCAATTCAAATGTAAGATGATTGAGGTTCGTGTGGTTTGATTGTGCCGAATCTTAGAAGTATTATCTATGTGGTGAGTTTGATAATCAATGTTATTGATTTGTGATCTAAAAGTCGATAGAGATTTTGATAATTTTAATGTACATAAGATCATATAATTAAAATAACAAGAAGAATTAAAGAATTGCAATTGAAAATGACCATTTAGCTTATAATGAACATTTATATTTTGGTGGAAGTTCTGCACTTTCTCTGGAACAGAGATTTTAATTCAACAATCATTAACCAGTATTAAGTGCGTAACTTGTTTGACGGTATGTGCATTTGCCTGGCTGTGTGTGCATCTGTCTGGCTTTTGATAAAAGTTCATACAATTCAGAGTTATTCGTGATCCTCTTAATGGCGTCTTATTTTTTCTTGGAAAATATGCATACTGCATACAGGAGAAAAAAAAAAATCTTCTAATGAATAATCTTAAGTACTTAACGTTATAAACTTTTTTTTTTTTTTTTTTGGTCTCAATACTTGCTATTCTAAGTCCCTTAAAAATCAGTTTCGCACGATTTCTGAGCTGCTGGTATTAATTTAACCACAGAATAGTATGAAGTATGAACTAACGATTTCCAATAAGAAAGGTGGATGCATGGAAAATGCTATGATCCCACTGTGCATGCAAGGGACGAATGTTAAATTAAGGAGACATCACTTCTGCAATCCACAAATGATTTGATCATGTCACCTAATTCTCTATTTTCAACATTCCCATTCACAGAAATGAAAGCTTGACCTGCAATGGATTCCCTAATAGATTCTGTTTTGGAAAGAAAAAGCAGGTATTGAGAAAATAAATAGTACCAAAGAAGCTGCATCTAAAGAAAGAATGAAATGTGCTCTTTTTATTCTTTCTACATTCCTTTATCCAAACATGTTGCAATTGAGATTCAGCCATCTCCCACCAAGCATCAGCAATCAATGAGTGGCTTGTCGTTTTTCTAATTCCAATTTTGAGCTTTCTGGTTTATCAAAAAATTTCCCCCAACCAAAAAAATAAAGAAAATAAAGAAGGGGTTTTAACTTACCCACTGTAATTATCAATTATGAACCTCGGCGACACTCCAGCTGCTTGGTATTCTCTAGTAGTACCTGCCAAGCAATTCAATCAATAATCCTAACAATTCATGCAAGTAATAGTCAAGTATGTTGTGTAGGGAATTAATGAAGCAAATAAACATATGAATACCATTGGCAATAATTATAACACATAGGTCCCAGAAGACAATCAAACTAAATTCACAAAATCAAGACAAGGAAAATTATGAACAGAAAAAAGAAGTTTTTACTTCTCGAATATAATTTGCTACTGCCTTGCAGCCTTCAGTAGCAAGTTGCATGACATCTTCAAATGTATCGGTTGGTAACTTAGCATCCATCTGTGTCAGGAAAACATCAGAAATGAGAGCTCTAAGAGTAAATTTTTTTCCAAATAACTTGAAACCTCTGATAATCAACATATGCATAAACCTCAATGATGTGATAAAAATGGTACAAGAAACAAAGGATACAATGTCAACAGTTAAGATTACATTCCACACTTCAAAAACATTACAAAACTGTGAGAGAAACTAGAATGACAAAAGTGTTCAAAAGACCCTGAACCAGAAACGATATACACATCGAAATGGTACCAGCTGTACTTAATAATAGAAGGATTTGGCAGAAATATGTAAAATTGCCCCTCCTAAAAAAATTATTCCAGAATAAATGGGCAATAGTTAGGAGAGGTGCGCCAGCGGTGAGCAGAAGCAAGGTTATTAGATACCTCATCTTGTTCAACTAATTGTGATTAATAGAAGTATGTTCTGCTTTAGTTTGAAATTATTTTACCACCAGCTAGCGACACAACATCAATCATTCATCAACGGATACCAAATTCCTTAAAGATCTGACATGACAGCCTGAGAGAAGGGTTTGGCCTAAACCTGGCTAAAAGAGATTCAGCAATTACAGAGAAAAGAAAAGAGAAAAGATTCTAGCTGAGAGACTTAATTTCACGCCATCTGAAAAAGATCAAATGCTAATAACTGGTATGGTTTTAAACCACTGTAGCATAAAGGAAGCACCTTCTTTCTTTTATTTGATTACCATGTGAACCAGGGCTTGTGATTGGGAGTTTGTCAAACAAATTTCAAGAAAGGATCAACATTCAGTTCTTTGCAACCACATGCTGTATAAATGAAACCCAACGGGTTGATCGAGAAAGATCTCTTGTTCTTATTATAAGATCGTGTGATCGGATAATACATGAACCCAACTCCATACGTCTGAGATTTGAAACTATATTGCAAGACTCGAAACTTTCATGAGCACAGTCATAAACAAGAAAAGCAGAATTTTAGACAAAAACCTGAAGGAGAGTAACTTTATCCAATGTAGGTAGAATGCCTACAGTGACATCAGGACCTCCAGCACTATCTTCAACATAATTCAAATCTGCCCACATCACAAATCTTCAGTATGGTAATCAAGTGTACAAAAATTAATACCATACCATATAATAACTAATTGAAAAACAAATCATACTACTTCAAGAAAACGATGAGGAAAATGACCATACCAAGAAGAGGAGTACTATTGAGGTATCCAGCACTACAGGAAGTAACAATATCACGCATTGGAATCCCAGCATCTGCAAGAGCTAATGTTGCAGCATTAATACATGCAGATCGAGTTCCTACAGACAACAAGTCCCAAATCAACAAGAAATTCTTTCTTCTTTTTCATGGAAAATGAGCCCTAACACTAACACTTTAGCAGCTGTTTAGAATTAAATGAAACTGCTAGTCCTAAGCGATTTTTGCTGCCTATCAATAGAGAGGGTAGCAAACAATGTTCACATAGTCAATGCCACCCCAAGACTGATCAAGTTTGGGTTAATCCAGTTAAGAGTGGTGAAAAAGGGACAAAGAACTTAAGAGACCCAAAGAAAGAGGGCAAGGTGAGACAGGGTAAGACATTTGAAAGATTTACTACGATTTAGAACTTTAGGAGAATATATCAATTGTACTTCATATTAGTCTCTTCGACCTCTTTCACATGCATAGATCAGCTCTTATGTCTGCTTATGTTTCTTTTTCAATGAAGAAAAATAAAGTAATAGAAAAGGAAGTCTGCAAGTCCACCATCACCAATTGCGAGGCAAGGGTAACATCATAGAAAGTCTACATGGAGCAACCACACTACCCCTTTAACTAATGAAATACACACTAGTTCACTAATAAACCAAGTACAATGAAATCTAAAATTATTTTTTCCAGTTTCCATTCCATTAGCTCAAATTATATAAATTCACAGTCATATAGTGAGGTATGAGTTACCTCCATCTGCTTGTAGAACTTGTACAAAAATATCTATCTGCAGATCAACAAAGAAGTATTTAGAAAAAACCAATCCTGTTTAGGAACTAGAAAGGGTTCCCAGTGATCTGTAACATACCTGAGAACGAGGCATTAAATTGGTCAATATGCATGCTTCCATTGTCTGACGAATAACAAGAGATATCTCTGTTGATCGCCTAGGTGTACCATGAAATCAGTCATGTATTGAACAACAAAATATACTCCTAAAATGATATTCATCAATTAAGTTGTACAAAAAGCAAAGTAATTGTTCAAAACAAATCACAGATACATCTAAAAGCTCTAAAACTATTGCTAACAAGAAGTTCCAAAACAAACACAAATGTTAATTCCTCCATGAGTAACAATGCACTCTTTTTAGACTATTTTTTCCAAAAACCCTTAAAATCAACCATCATTTAGGCATAACCCAGTGAACCTCAGATTAAAAAATTACAAGCCAAACTTAATCCATATTCCGGTGCATGTACAGTCAATTTACCACCCAATTCAATACATGCAAGCAAGTTGTATACTTGTAAATTAAGTTTTAACATATGAAAGACTATAAAGAATATGTTCCAACCTGTCACCCTTTGGTTTTCTCATACGATCTCCAGTACTAAAATTAGCCATGCTGTACTCACAGCGCACCTGAGAAATATACAAATACAGATGATCAGAGTTATTTAAATTAAGACATTAGAAGTTTTACTGAGAATGTTACCAATGCTTGGTCAGTAATTTGCTGGCTCCTATTTTGAACCTGAAAAACACAGTAAATTGCTTACAGAATGAGCATCACTTTTGACCTATTCACACACACAACACAAAGAGAGAGAGACAGAGAGAGACAGAGACAGAGAGACAGAGACAGAAGGGTACCTCTCTAGGACCATAGACAGCAGCAATGACTTTTGTGTTACCCATCTCAAACATAGCAGAACTAGAAATCATGAGGCAAAGTAAATTAAAATAGAAATTAATGTGGAAACAAATAATTAAAAGAAAAGGTGGTAAATTACCCATCTGCTTTGGCAACGACACCAATCTCAGCACATAGTTGCCTAATCTAAGATTGTGAAAACAAATATAAAATTTAATATTGGAGCAATAAGCATAAAAGGAACCAAATAACAAGAGAAGAGATTTATACTTCCATAGGGCGGCGACCATCTAATCGAAGTCCTTCAGGGCTTACATATTCCATCTCTATCAACTATGTGAAAGTGGAGACAGGATAGAACAATTGAGGGTTAGTTTCCACTTCACAAAAAACCCTTTATCTGAGTTGTTACAATAGAAGCTTGAAGACCGCTATATGATCCAAATGAAAATTCTTTAATACAGATATTTCAGTTTCAAAGCAATGTTTTAATAACCAGCCCAGGATGAAACCCAGCAAAGTGGCCAGGTATCGGGTTGAACCAGTCCAACATGAAAAAAAAAAATCCTATGACAAAATAAAAAAAATGCAGATTGTAGTTCATTTCAACATGAAAAAAATCCAACATGAAAAAAAAAAAATGCAGATTGCAGTCTTGCAAACTGCAAACTCCACATATTTACGAACTTACAAAACCAATATCCATCATTCTTATGCATTACAAACTTACAAAAATTGCATTACGAACTTGAACACTGTTCTAACACTCAACATCTATCATTCTGATGCACATATTTACTTGGACATGTTTTCTAATAGCAATTTATTAATTTATTAAATTTGTGTTGGGAAGAATAATAGTAAAACCATCTACATAGCCATAAGAAAAACCAATATCCAACAAAATTTCTCTGCATTCAAGTCTCTCTTCCATTCTACAATTCTAAGAGCTTCACTCACAACACTAATCAAACCAGCAGTCCATTCTCCTCGATTACTTTTCTGTTTGCTATAACTCTAAAAGATTCCAGAAAAAAAAAATATCATCATTCATCAACATTATGAAATCATACTCAACACCATCGCAATTCTACCAGTTAACAACATACACTATTACAAATTTTATTTAAAAAAAAAAAAACAAATATATATATATATATACACTGGTTAAAGCAACTCGTGGAGGCGACAAATGTCACAACAGGTTGCCGGTATCAAGCAGAGACTAAGGATTTCGAAGATTGAGAATCGAAAGGATTCTGCTTTGTTAATTTCACTCAAAGTTTAGTAAATTAGGATTCAAGAATCGTCCGAAGACGAAGGGTTTTGCAGATTGAGATTCGAAAGCAGAAAAAGTGAAGATAAAATGAGACGGGTACCTCGTCGGACAGCGACTGCAGTGCTGCCGGCGGCGGTGGTCGATCGAAGAAAGCGACACTGGAAGAGAGGGGTTCGATCGTCAATTGAAAATAGTAAGGGGATGTAGAAAATTAGAATTGGGGAAGGGGACTAAGAGTTCACCCGGTTTTGGGTTAAAACTGGTTGGACCGGACGTTGGCTACAGTAACACCGGTCCAACCATTAGTTTTTTGGAATCTTTTTGCTTGAAAATTGAGGGTCCATATGACTTATTATTTTGAATAAGATTTTAGAAATAGTATTAGATAATTGAATAAAATGATTATTATGAGATAAAATTTAAAAATTAACAAAAAAACCTTTAGGTTTACTAATTTAACTAAACATCCCAATATATAAAAAATTTGTAAAATAACAAAAACACCCCCACTTACCCACAGTACCAGATTCCGGCCACCACTATCGGAATCTACCGTTACAATGCAAACCGGTCGGATCTGGCTGGACGTACATCGATCTGGCCTTTTTCGGCCAGATCGGACGACCGTAAAAGGTCAGATCGGTGAATTACCGATCAGTTCTGGTCATTTGTAAATCGTTATGATAGATTCCAGCTACCACCGACAATAGTTGCTAGAATCTGATAACTATGAGTGGGTGTGAGTGTTTTTGTTAATTTTTAAACCTTTTTTTCTGGGAATATTTAATAAAATTAATAAACTTAAGGGGTCTAAAACAATTAAAAAAAATATAATAGTATTTCCTAAATAATTAAACAAACAAATATGTTAAGAATAGGATTGGAAATAGAGTATGGAATAATAAACCAAATGCACCCTAAATATTACTTGTAAGAAGGTGAACTCATGTAAGGAGTGTGTTCAAACTTCAGAGGAGCAGGAGGTATTGGAGAGGGAGATTAGAATTTAGAAGGCTACGAGCCTTGTACCAGCAACAGCAACCACCATCATCTTCTGGTCATCGACGCTCTAGCAACAGAAACCAGTTTGCGAAGCTATCCTTGAATTAGTGTTTAAATCTTGTTTAGGAATCAATTAATTGCAATCATGTAGCAGGAGTGGAGTACTTCTATACAACAATCCTATTTCCAAACAAGAAATAAACAACTAAAATTTTCTAGTGAAGTATCGTAAACGTCCAAAGATTTAGTTTAAATATTTACAATACAAGATTTTCCTGTTAGAAGTATGACAAGACATTTTCCTTAGATTTAATTATCTGCTTTTTAAATTTTTAATAACGACTGTATTTTTTATCTTAGTGTTCCACTAAATAGGACTCTATCTAACAAATATTGATAACTTATAATCTTAAATCAGATCTAACATGATTAAAAAATTTATGATCATTAAGAAATAATTGCTTATACTTTATGAAAATGAAACTCTTTAATGAAAAATAATAATGTTAAGTCCATAACTCAATCTTATAATCTTCAACATAATAACTTATAATTAAACTATCTAATTACGAGTTGAGTAATTACAAACTAACACGTAAGAGAGAATTGAAAACTCATTTCAATAAGTCAATTGGGGTCTTTCAATTGGTTGCCAACTTTGAATGAACTTAGACCAATAAACCAAATTTCTCCACAGACACGACAAGATATATTAATAAAGTCATGTACAACTAGTCAAGTCTTTGTCTTAAGTAAAATTTGCATTGATTAGAGCCATTGAACAATAAAAAATCTTATTATATTTTATGAGATTTTTTCTTCAAGAAATTAAGAATTTCAAAATTATAAAAATAAATATATATACTGAATTTAGTCTGTTTTTATTTTCGTGTAGCATCTTAGAAGGATAAAATAAAATAAAAAAATTCTACTTTATACAATTTTATTAACCTTTGGTCTTCCTTGTAATGTAACATCCAACTTTAGCTCTTGTGTTGGACCCAAGTATCATTCACGGCATAGACCAACATACCAATTTTCCTCACCATATAACACGGCAAGGAAGTTTTTAAGTCATTAGATCCATTGAAAAATAAAAAATCGTATTATATTTTATGAGATTTTTTTCTTCACTAAACTAATGTATGGTCCTAATTAAAAATCCACAAAGCCCTTTTACAATCAGCACTGATATGGTGGGTGGCAGACTGGCCATTTGCATTAGACTGCTTCAATATTTCTATGCACACTACATGACTTGTCGCCTTTGGTGAGTGCCTATAAGTTCATAGGCTGTGAAGCTATCTTGTCAAGTTGGGTTTTCTTAATTTTATAGTTCAATGCTCAATCGAATAGTTTTTTGCTCAGTTAGCTTTTATCTCCTGCTTTTATTATGGTCAAGCCTGCTATCTTATGGTTCAGTTGCTTCTGCCAATTCTATGCTCGAAGGCAATGAAACTGATAGACTTGCATTGCTTGAATTCAAGGCTAAAGTTACTCATGATCCTCTTCGGGTTTTGAGCTCATGGAATGATTGCAATCACTTTTGCCAATGCGAGGGTGTTACATGCAGTCGGCGTCATCAAAGAGTTACTAGATTAGGTCTTCCTAATTCAAAATTGGAGGGGTCTCTATTACCATCTATTGGAAATCTGAGTTTTCTTGGAGTTTTGAATCTCAATGACAATAGCTTCTACAATGAAATCCCTCTCAAGTTTAGCTATTTGTTTAGGTTACAATATCTAGGCTTGGAAAATAATTCATTTGGAGGGAAAATTCTTAGCAATTTATCAAGCTGTGAACCTTGAATGGGCTAGCATTGGGAATAATAAGATGGTTGGGAAACTTCCGGGGGAGTTGGATCTTTATTAAAGCTTCTTGGACTCTATGTATTTTTCAACAATCTGTCAAGAGAAGTGCCACCTTCCTTTGGCAATTTGTCATCTCTTGAGTGTTAGGGGGATTTAATTGAATACTAGCAAATCCTAAATCCCTGAAAGTAAAAATAATGCGAACAAAGGACAATAATAATAATAACCACACACATAAACATAAGATTTATAGTGGTTCACTCTCCGTATGAGAGCTACGTCCACTCTGTCGCTGTCGAATTTCATTGTGAAGAAGAAAAAAAATTACAAGAACTCTCAAGCCTCACAAATTAGCTCACTCGCTACCCTATTTGGTGGCTTTCACTATCTAATTATGGATTTCCCTTTTATTCAATTTGTGATATCTAACTCTAAGACTTAACCCTTTTTTATAGGTAATACATGGGACACAATTTCTAATAGGACTCAAATCCCATATTCTGATAGGAATTATATTTTAATTTCAATATAATTATAATCCTATTTCCAATTGTATTCCTAAAAAAAACAATTCTACTTAAACACAAATTAGGAAAACCCATGTCCTAATCCAACTCTAATTTGGATTGAATTTGGCTCCACAATCTCAACAATCTCCCACTTGGAGACGAATTCAACATGTCTTCAATTCTTCACTTTCATCAGCAATAGCATCAACTTCTCTTTCTACAGGTGAGAAGTCCAATTGAAGTTGTACACAA